CTCATTCTCAAGACTCTACTGTGAATTCCTTCTCATTCTCTACTGTGTGTGTGTCCCTTAAACCAACTCCCTCCCTTTTCTACTTTCCTCTCCTGCCTCTAGATCCCACCCCAGTTTGTGTTTCACCACCACACCTTCACATAGAAGAGGAGTTTGCCTTGTGTTGCTGCAGCAGTGCCCCAATATGTGCAGTCCCCAATGAGCAGCTAATATGTGGTAACTCAGTGCAGTGGTCCAAAATGATAGGTTTGATACAAACCCTGATACTCCCAGTCTGTGAAACTATTTACATCTAAGACTGGCAAATCTTGAAAAGTCCTGAAGGGAAGTGACAAGCATTAATATTAAGCTGTGTCAAAGCAAAACAATATTGTAATAGTTGAAATTTTTGCCAAATCTTTCACTGGATGACACAACTTGCTTTAACTGTCTTTGTTATGAGTTTGTCAACATTTTTACTTTATAACGCACTTTGTGATCAGTGTTTGTTTACAGCAGGTTAGGAGAGATGCCAAAACTTGCTTGAAATTGTGATCCAGACAGTTGTTCTAAAGAAAAATAGTGGTGTATTGAAAGCAAAAGAAAACCTAAGATTTGTGAACAACATTTTTAAAGGAAGAAAACTGCAAGTATATAGAGTGACTTTTTAGCAGAATAGTTAGTGGAGCTGCTTTGGCTGTCAAGTGCATTTTTCCTTTTTCACTGTGTTTTAGAAATGTCTCCTATGAATTTTGCATTTCAGTGGTCATTTTATGCAGAATGTTTAAAAATGTTCATGGTCCACATGTGGGTGAAGGACACAGCTGTTACTTAGGAGAACTCAGAGGAGTGAACCAAAGACCTTTATAATGGATCTCTTCTGTCTGAACTTTGTAGGACTTTGGAGAAGCTGTAGTCCTATTTTGGGGGACTGTAGTAAGAGTAAAGGTAGGAAGTTAGGCTACAGAAAATTTTGTGTGGCAGTTTAACCATGCATTTTTACTGTGCTATGCATGCCACGTGCTTCAGAGTCTCATTTAAAAACTGTTTGCATTGTTGTTTTCATTATTTTTAATAGAGCTGACACACGGGCAAGCTATTGTTGAAGAAGTTTATTTGCACTACTGAGATTATTTTTGCCAGTATCACTGAAGCTTGTATAAGTATGTAAACAAAACAATCCACAACTACACTGACTCTGCTGTAGAAGAAGGGGGAAAATACAGGCAGTCAGCAATACAGCAATCCATAGAATATTTTTTTTTAAATTGTGTTTAATTTAAAATCTCAAAATGGAGATTATATCCAATTGTAGTTTGCAGTTGTAATTACTTATTTTAAAAGATGCACTTGCATACCCTTTTGTATGGACTTTGTTACAGTTCAGAAAATTATTTGCACAAGTGAAATGGAATTTAATTCTTTCATAGCACATTAAAATTCATCTGAGTTGGTGGCACAAAGCCCATTTTCTTGTTTTTAATGTACTTTGGTTTTGTTTAAAAGCTGGCTACACTAAATTGCAGGTGGTGGGATGCAGTTGCCTGTATTGTATTTGGTAAATTGGTTTAGTGCAGAGCACTTTGTTTAAACAGAAACACAACTGCAGCCTTGTACAAGGGAGGGTTTGCCAGATTTGTGCTTTTCTTTATCAAACTGGAAATTGATGAAGTTGGTTAAGAACTTGGTGGGACTAAGTTACAATCCCCAGGACAGCAAGATGTCCCCAGGCACTAGTCATTTCTTGCTGCATTCTGAGGAGGCACTGACTGTTGCTCTTGCAGTCCTGGCACTGTTTATTCCCTCAATGACAGAGCTTTCCTGTTCTCAGCCTCACAGTAGCCACCTTGTGCTGTAGGCAGAGTATAGTTCAGTGCCATCTTTGACATTTGTATCAGGTCATTCATGGGCTTTTGGCTTAGAGGACTGATTTGGAAGAATTTAAGTATTCCGGAGGCAGTAAAAACTGCTTGTGATCTTTCCTTCTGAATGCGGGAAGAAAGTAGTAGAGTACAGCTTTTTCTGCTGGTACCCCAGAACTGACCTTATTCCAGGGAACTAATGAACCCCAAGGCACAATGTAAAATGAGGGCAGGGATTACTGGACTGACTTCGTAAATGTATGCTTAAGTGTCCATGCAGGCTTGAAATAACTTCCAGAGGTTAGACATGCATTCTCTGTTGTATCAACAATAGATGCTGAGATTTTACTAATACTGTGCAACATATAGATACCTGGAATGCTGAATTTATAATTGACAGTGGCTTTCTAAACTGTGTTAGAAAGAGATTAATATTTTATGCTGGATTCTCTGGGTACTGCCATCAACTCAGAAGCAGAAATTCTTGCTGAGGGCGGGTAGATAGAATGTACAGTTATGTAGACACTATTACCTGTAAAAAATGTGTTGTTGTCTGTTAATTCTTTAACACAGCCATAGTGTTTAAGTTGTTTTGTTTGTTTCAATTGGTTGTTTTAAGAAAGAAAAAAGGCAATGGTTACATTTTAATGCTTTGTTCTATTTGGTTGTTAGAATTTTAGCCTGAAACTTTGCACTTTGTACTTGAAATCCCAGACTACAGGCTTTTCTTGCAGTGTTTTTTGTCAGATGCATTTGAAGAATTTGCAGTGATCCCCAATAATGTCTGATTTGTAATAGTGTCAGCCTGGCAAATGGATTTTAGGTTAATGTAAAAAAGAGAAGCAGTCCTTTAACTGCCTTTTCTGGAACTGTTGAACTGCAAATAAAGTATTTTTGGAAACACCTCTAGGGGCAGACTCATTGCTTTTCTGATAAGCAAAAATGTATACTGCTTTTAGGACTTCCCTTGTAATAGAAAATCTAAAGATACAGATACTATTATAAAAGCAGCAGCCATTAAAGTATTCTTTTTGGGGGGTTGTTAATTTTGGTGTTTTGAAGGGGTGTTTTTTTGCAGGGGAGGGGGTGGTCAGCCACACTTCTAGTCAGTGTAATGGAAATGTAAACAACTGTTATGTACCTTCCTTTTGCTGAAAATAATGATTTTCCTAATGCAATATTTAACTAAATTATTAAAGAAAATGCACATCGAAAAGACTGTGAACTGCATTTTGCAGAATTTTAATTTAGTACAGTTCTGCAGTTACCTAGCATAAAACTTCAGCTTTCCATTTTGGTGTTTATGTATCTAGTTTAATTCTTACTTCTCACCCTTGAACAATTTATGTCATTAGGAACACTGTTTCAACAAAACTTTGTTGTGTAAAGGTCAAAAGTAATGTCCAACTGTTCGGGGGTTTTTTAAGTATCATATGAAAATAAGTTTTTTAGTTCTAGTATGAAATTTCACAAAAGAAATAGCAGTAATAAAATACAAAAAAATTGATGGGTTTGGATAGTAAAACTACATAAAGGTAAAGGTATATTTTTAGTAAATTAGTATCTTTCCTTAATCATAAAGTCATTGTTCAAATAAAACTAACAGGGCACTTAATGTGCATAAGTTCAGAGGAAGAATCTTGAACTGCTGAATATGCATATGGTTGGTTTTAAATTTATATTTGTATTCATGGAAATTCTAAGACATTAAAAAGACTAAATGAATTAATGCATGTAGTAGTTAATGCACTACAATGCAGCACCCTGAGTTTCAATTTAAATTTTGCAATATGTAAAGCACTTAAGGAAACTTGCTAATTTTGGTAGGAAATTAGACATGGCTACAGCTACATATCCCCATTATAAAAGGTAGTCTGTGGCTTTAGCCATAGCTGCTATTTAAGAGTGGTTATAAAAGGATTGAAAATAATTTAGGCATATTAAATTATGAACAATGGTGAGAGGAACTAGTTGATAACTGGGTTCCTTCAGCTAAAAGAATTGTTAATTATACTGGCAGTATTGTGCATGTAGCATTTATCAGAGCATTTTGTAATTCATCTTAGTCTTTTGGACATTTTGAAATTTATAATTTGTATCAGGGAAGATTATTCAGTTGTAAGCTGGGAGAATGAGTTCTTGAGTTGAAATGTACAACTTGTGTACTAAAGTACTTCTCAGAAATAAATGGTTTTTTTGTTTATTTGTTAGTGTATTCCATGTCTGCCACAAGAGCTTCTTGCAGTGTTAGCATCTTCTGCATTTAGAGAAATAATAATTTATAAGTCATATTGTGCAACCTGTGCTTGTAAATTCACAGACTATTCCAAGTTGGAAGGGTCCTACAAGAATCATCAGGTCAGCTCTTACATGAGTACACAGGGATCAAACCCATGAGCTCAGCATTATTAGCACCATGCTCTGATCAGGTGAGATCATCTAAGGCTAAATGTGCTTGGTCAACCTCCAGCCTTCTGAAGTCCTGATATGAGTACAGATTTACAAGGCAGAGTTATTTGATGTCAAGATACGACCTCCTCAATTAAACCAAGATCAATAAATTTTTACTGTAGATGTGAAGTTAGATTTTTATTCCATATTGCATTAGATGATAGTGTCAAAGAGTAGGTGCAGTTAAGAATTTCTATGACAGAATGGCAAATGACAATCTATTATGTCTATGTTGTAACATATAAAAATGCAGCCATGTAATGAAGATGACTTAGTGTCTTAATTGCAAACTCTGCTTGCCAACTATGGTTTTTTACTTGAAAAAATACAAGTGTGTGTGTACCTGAATGTGAAGCAGAATAGTTTTCACTAGTTAGAGAAGAACTATCTGTTAAATATGAATGTAAATGGAGTGCTAACACAGCTTACAGTCAGTTTAGAACTGAGTGAAAAAAACTTCCAAAAAGTCATGTACAGCAGTATCAGAGCCTGGCTGGTTGGCAGCAGAGTGTTTAGGAGATGACAGCAAAATGTTTTTCCCACTTCCTGTAGTTAGATTAGCTGGAGTGCTAGGTACAATCTTGCTGCAGACCATCTCCCATAAAGGATTAAGACTCAGCCAAAGCCACAACTTCTCAAGACACAATTTCTACCTTCTATTGCATTCTCCAAAGTAAAAGTAAGTAGAAAACTTTCACAAATAAAATATATGGTTAATGCAGATTTTATTGTTACAGACAAATGTACTAAATTTTATTTGCTCGGTAAGATTTTTTTTTTCAAGTCAAAACAAAAGGTTTGAATTAAGCCTGGAGGCACAGCAATATTCAAGGAGTACAGTACAGATGAACTAAGAGTTTACCTTTGGTTGTTACCTCTTGACTTTCTGAAAAGAATCTACTGCTTTATTCCATAATAAAATCAGACTAGTTACAGTACAGTTGGAAGCTGTGGCACTTGAGCTTGAGTTATAGGCAGGTTCTAGCAAATAGCATGTCTTGTAAATTGGTCCACAGTTAGCTTCTGCTGTTGGGCACTGTTTGGTTTTGCAGGCACACTGAACTTGGAAGGAAGGAGTGGCTATCTTACTCCTTTGTAGAAACTTCGGTAGTGGTCAAATGTATTTCTGAAAAAAAAAAAAAGAAACAGTTTAAGTGTATAATTAGTTGCTTCTATTAATTGTATATGCACTGATATGTAGCTGAAACTAATGCAGAACTACTTACAAGTTTACCAAAGATAGTTCCAAACTCTGCCCTTGTCCACTGTGCCAGTTGGATTTTTCTTGTCTGCTCAGTAACACAAAATTATTTTCAGTACATGCTGCTTTTTCTTTCTAACCTTTGCTTATTTTCCTTTTGCACAGAAAAGGAGTCAGAGCAGATGGTACTCATTGGGAGGAAGGAGAGGTGCAATTACTATGTTAACAGAGATGCAGTGTTGCATTGTCCTGGACCTGCAGTGCTGATGTTCAAGCCCTTCAGTACCCAAAAGAATTGTTAATTTCTCTGAATAATGTATTGGAGCTGAGGCAATCCACAGAAAAACAAAGTGCTGTGCTGGTTTATTATTTATTGTGCTGGTAATAGTCCCATGGTGCCATCTCTTCTGTTTATGGGCAATTCGTTTCCAGGTATGTATCCTCTTCAAACTTCCTCAGAGCTAACTGGTAGCAAAGACTGTCATGCTAAAAGAACTTGCACACATCTAGTAACTCCATCCTGGAACACGACCTAACAGTGAAGAGCCGCAGTTAATTAATTCAAATTCCCTTAGAATATAAGGCATTTTAGAGTGCTGTTCTCTTGCATTTCCTAGGTAGGAGTTGTATTAGATCCATGAAAACAGTACCCTCTTGCATATGTACCACCACACAGATATGAGTTGCAATATTGTTGGGAGAGTACCATGTTAGACACTGGAGGCCAACATGTTCAAACTGAAGTTGCTGTTCTACTTCCAGAGCTGGATCACAGGTGTGGAAAAAAATGCAGTTTGATTTTAGGTCTCTTGTTTCAGTCCCTCTGAGGACTGCCTTGCCTTTCAAAGGTCTTGGTCTTTGAGTAAGTCTAATACCTATTATGATTACCTCATCTGCTGCAATGTCCTGAAGCAGAACAATATCTGAGAGGATGCTCTTTTGAGCATAACCAATAATTAAAGTTTGCTAGTCAAATTATTTCTCAAAGCATTTTCTGATTTGCTAGCTATTAATTAAAACTTGATTAGAATCATTTAGATTGGAAGAGACTTTTAAGATCAAGTCCAGCTGTTAACACAGTACTGAAGTCCCAACACTAGCTCATCCATATCCCTGAACACCATCTACACATCTAAATACCTTCAGGAATGGTAACTCCAGCTAATAACTAACACAAGACTGGCCCTAGACATTGAATGAGAGGTACCTCTCAATGAGTAGATTCTTCCAGGTCAACAGTTTCCCTTTTCATCAGTTGCAGTTCATCTCCCCATATTTTTGTTACCATCTTTAAATGGCAGCTGAAAAGAACTCTGGTGAGCAGCTAGACCAGCCTCCTGCCTTACACAGGACAACTTTTACCAGCAACATTCCACTACCTCTGGCCATTCTGATCTACTATCATCATACTATGCTTTATAGAGATTTTATAGATAATTACTAACTAGAACTAGTTATTGAAAACAAGCATACAAAGCATGTGTATGTCAGAGTCAATAGAATAAATTGAGATCATGATTGCTGCTGGACTTTTTTCATGCTGAATTTTGGTAAATAAATCTATATTTAGGCCAATATGCTTTAAATTTACATGGGATTCCTACTTTATTCTAGGTGTACTGAAATAAAGAGTTGCTTTCTGGTACTGGAATTTGATGGGTTTTCTGTAGATGTTTAAAGTAAAAGGAGCATTAAGCCCGATGGAAGTAGGCTGTAGACTTCAAATGCAGACATATATAATCTGCAGAACAGGACATTTCCAGAAGCTGAGTAGGAAATGAGGCTGCAATCCACCTTGTTTCTTGCTGCTGTGGAGGTAGACCAAAACCCCGTTTAACTCACCAATAGCATAGCAGTGAGCATGTGCAACTTTGCACTTAGGGATGCATTTGGAGCATTATCGAGCTCTGCAGGTTTCAGCATCACTCCTGCTGTAGTCTTTTAAGGCTCCAGCTTCTGCCATCAAAAGGCTTTTACAGAAGTTTCCATTCTTTCTGGCTGGAAAAAAGCTTGATGTAATAAAATGAACATTGGCTCAGAGAGAAGGAAAATAAATTTTTCATTAGTGAACTAAGGAAAAAAGTATTGAGGGACAATTTCACAAGTTAATTACCATGTCTCTTTTTGTAATATGTAATTTCCAAAATTAATTATTCCAAGATAATTGGAGAGACTTCTGTGTGACTTTTAGTTGATAGTGCAGCAATGTTAGTCTTTAGGTCAGAAGTGAGGTTTTGAAACAAGTCTTCATTGTTCCTATTTACTGTACTTGGGCTCAAAATACAGAATTATGGGCCATGCTAACTGACATGGGGAGTCAGTCAGCTCCACCCAGCTATGTTGTTCTATCCAAAGAGAGTGCAGCAGCCCAGACCACAGCAGGACTGACCAGTAACAATCTCTGCTAGCCCTGAGGAGAGTACTTGGCTTTGCCCTTAGGCAGAGCTTAGAGGGCCAAAGCAGGCTCTAAAAGTTGTGGCAAATAATAGCCTAGAGCTCATGTACATGAGGCAGGAAGGCATCGCATCAACCATCTTCACCCACCCCCCAGGTTTTATTGTTTTTAATACGGCAGATTATACACTCCACCATTATTGCAGTTGTGCTAATTAGGAAGGCCACATCTTGTTCTTTCCTGGAATGTTTGGAGAGAATAGAAGTTACATCCAGTAATGACACTGATTCAGTTACTCACTGTCTTTATCTCCGAAATGCTTGATCCTGATGAAAAGTAGCCTCTCTCTGAGAATCATAGTCCAAGTCTGCTTGCTTTTCCTGCTCTTTTCTTGCCCAGAAAGGGTACATTAAATAGCTGAGTGAACATCAGCATTAGCTGCTGCTCTTTGGTGACCTGCCCAGAAGATACAGGAGGACAGCAGTGCATGGTCAAAAAAATGTTATAATGGCACAGGACAGAGGTGAGATGTCATTATTGATCTCTTACTACCAGCCCTCACAGTAGTCCTCCCTAACTCACATGGGCCATGTCCATGGAAGAGATTTCTGCTCTGCTGCTCTAAGATGAGGCCCATAAACCTCTGAAACACATCTATTGTGCATTGTCAAGTTTTCAGCAGTAACCTTCTCACTCCACATACAAGCATTATGTGATCCCAGGGGTACAGTCAGTCACCTCTCCAATGTCAGCAGCTGCAGTGTGCACAGGTAAAAATCAAACCAAACAAAATATGTACATCATACCCAGAGCAACCTTTCTTCTGCCCAAAAGGCCTAGTCCTATGTGTTTAGAAGTGTGCTTCTTTCTGAAGGGATTGACAGTACACAGTTGTTCTTATTTACCATTTGCTGGAGCTGAAATTTCTGTACTTCCATGTTTGCATCACGCTGTCTTTGTTTCTTGGCTTTCTCCATTTCCAAGTAGTTATAATTTTCTGTCATCCACTGATTACGATCCTTCTCACCCTCTTCCTTTTCCTGTCTCTCCTTTTCCTCTTTCAACTTCATCTGTAGTTTACAAAACACACAAAAGTTAACCGAGGAGCTGGCCTGCTAAGCTGGAAGTTGTATCTCTCTGCAGGAGCAGCCCTGTATCAGCACTCTGATAAGCACGGTCACTGTGGCTGGCCCATGTCCAAGCCCAGGGCTTTCAGCAGCCCTGGCACATGTGCACCCAACACAGAAGGGGGAAACAGAAAGGGGACTCCAGGAAAGATGTCAGCAGACTTGCTGAAGTCCAGACTAGAGTGGTGACCAGAGTCACAAACTGTGTTCTGGGCCAGGCTCCTCTGCTAGAATAAGCAGTGCAGTTTGCACAAATTACAAACAATTACAGAGCCTTCCTAGTCTAATTTTTTTTGAAGACGGAATTACCACATATGCTGCTTGCTTCTTTCTTAAGGGTTTAGTTCTAAAACTCTTAATGATAAATGAGAAGCAACTGGTGAGAACCCGCATGTGTGTCTCACTCCAGATGACACTGCTGGAAACGATGGCATTTCCAAACACTATTCCTACATTCAAGTATATGACAGAAAGAGGAGCAAGGACAGCCCCCATTTCTTACCACAGTGATTCTGTTTTCTTCAATAGATTCTACAGCAGCCTTTTTTTTCATTTCTTTCTCTTTGTTTTGCTTTTGATACTCATCTTCTACTTCTGCAGCTCCTCTAGCAAGACGATCGTCTTCAATCTTAATTTTTTCATTCATCTGGGCAGTTAACTGATCAAAAGCTTTGTCCTTATGCTTCTGTATCATCCTGCAGGAGAACATGAGCTACTGTAACATCCCAGGACATCTGCTCAGATTACCCAAGGCAACTGGTAACTGGATTCAAATAACACCAGCAATCCTACCTCCACCCCAACAGCACTAATTAGTACTGGAACTGGTAGGCATTTTTTTCTGCACTATTTCAAGTTCTAATTATAGAAAACTTACTTGCATCAAACTTCTGATTTTGCTGATATAACAACTGAAAATATTGTTTGTCACAAAATGAAATTGCAAGTATGAATTTTAACACTGAAAATTATCCCTGGACCCACCTGCTAGACTCTTCATTTTTTTCTCTTGTCAGATCAGCCATCATTTCTTTTCCTCTAATATAAGCCTTAATTTGATCATCATCTTTGTCTTCTCTTTGTTTCTCTTCAGCTTTAAGTGTTTTCTGTTCAGCTACATATTCCTGTTTAAATGGAAAACTGCTTTTATTTTCATGTAGAATGAGATTTTGGAAACATGACCCAAAAACAAATTCTAACAAATACTTCAGGCCTAGCCTGTAATAAGGAGTTCTTTACATCAGTGGAGAAGCTACAGAAGATAGAAACCCAGAGATAAAAGAAAATTTTCATTCTCTACTTATCACAAACCACAACAGAAATAAAATTAGTATGTGCTTGCAACCCCAGGCTTATAGTATCTTTATGTTCTCTCCTCTACCTTGCAGTGGCACCAACTGTACTGCTCCTATCCTGCGTATCATTCATATGGTGCAGACGCTGAAGGGCTCAAACAGTAAGTCTGTAGAACCATCAAAATGTAAAGCATAAGGCATTTTTTATGACTCAGAAATGGCACTTGTATAGCTTGGCATTATGTATAGCTTTTCTTGCACATATAAGGTTGGGGGGGAAATGGGTGAAAATTGGTGTATTTGGGGTGAGGAGTATGGAAGGGAAAAAAGGAGGTAGGATTTTAGTGGGAATTCTCTCCTTTTACTACCTCACTTGGCAATGAATCATCACAGTACCTCTACTTCAGTTTCCCTGCCCAAGCAGGCATTGTCAGGGAAACAGTATGTGTGGTAAGTACGTCATCAGTAAGTTTAAAAGATATTGTCATACTCAGGCTGTTCCCTCTCCCTAACAAAGAAAAATGGATGTAGAGCAAGTACATGGAACCTAAATCAAATTCTCAAGTCAAGGACAATCTCGTTGCTGACTCTAGCAGACTTGGTCCATTGTAGACCAGTCAAAGCTCAGGTTCCACATTAAAACTTCCAAGAGGAAAGGGTAATTGGCAGGGTAGGCATTTGATCCCAGGCCACTAAAGCTGTCAGCAAAGACCCTGTTGCCCACAATCTTGTTTATTTGTGGGCCAAACCCAACCATCACAGCCAAGGTGAAATACGCATTTTGAACTGTCTGCTTTCCTGCTACTTACATGATGCTGCCTCTGGAATTCTACTTTTTTCTCCTGTTCCTTTTCTTTATCTCTCTGATTTTCCATTTGGTATGATTCGGTTCTTCGCTGTATTCGTTCTCCTTCTCTTCTGTTTTCCAGCTTGGCCAGATCAGCTTGATCCTTGTGCTCCTTTATTCTGAATCAGAAAAGGGAAGTGAATAAATGAGCTAGAGACAACATAAGGTAATAACGAACAGATACAGGATTCTGGACAGCAATGAGTACTTTAACAGTAAAAAACCCTGATACTTTGAAGCAAAATAGCAGAGATCAAAACCAGAATCAGTTTCTATAAGCTATCTCCAAATTCTTTGGCCAAAGCTCAGTTCCAGTCTGAGGGTGCTAGGGATGTCTGTACTAGCAGAAGTGAACATGACCGGCATGTGGACTCTAATGTTATATTGAATTTGATTAGCCTGTTTTATTGTTATCTCACTCCCTGTACAACCTTGGCCTTTTCCAGCAAAGTTTTCTAAGAAGTGCCACAGCACTGTGCAAGACATGGCCATGGTGCCCATGCTAGCTGGAAGTGTGAAGGCTTCTAGGTGGAGGGAAGCACAATAGTGTGACAAGCCACTCGCTCTGGGTGCCAGAATTGAGCCAGTCTTGTTGGAGGTTTTAGGACATAGCTTCTGACAGCAAGAGACTTTTCTGAAGCTGGAGAACAGAATTATGGAGGGTGAGGAAAGGTCCATCTGACCACGACTTGAGAATGATCTGAAACCCTCGTTCAAAAGCAGTGAGTCACGCAGCCCGAGGCACGGACCGCCCAAGAGCTGTGCCTTTTCGCGGGCCGTGCAGCCGGACTCGCCCGGGCCGGGCTGGCCACGGGAAGGTTTTTAACCCAAACCCTCTGGTCCCGCTCCCGGGGCCCCGCCGCCGGACTCACTGCGCCAGCTGCTCCTGGGCCACTGCCCGGCGGCTCAGGTAGCGGCCATGCTCCACCTCTGCCTCCCGGCGGATGGCGTCTGGCCCATCGCGGTCCATCGCAGGCCTTTTTCACTGCTTCTTTGGAGACGGAACGTCTGCCGAAGGAGAAGCAGGGATCTCACTGACGGCTCGGCTCCCCGGGAAACCGATCCTTCTCCCGTCCCGCTCAAAGGCGGCGGCTCGGGAGCGCTGAGGCGGGAAAT